TAAACACAGACTCAATACACACCAACATAAAAATATATAGTTAAAAAAAACAGTAACATGCATTTGTTTCTAATTCTGAATAATTTCTTAAAAGCAGAAAGACTGAACAGATTCAGAGACATGAAAATGCATTTGCCAACTCAACGAAACTGAAGCTTAAACTAAAGATGTTAATAACATGTCTGTGTTAACATTCTCAATACTCATGAGGGATCGCAAAAACTATTTAATGGCCAAATAAAAAGCCCATTAAAATCATTGCTATTTTCCCCATGTCTCTTATTTTTAAATTGTCAGCACAACCGTCTCGAATATAGGGTGAATATTCAATACATCACCCAACACTACCTGGTACCAAAAAAGCTACCAAGTCCAAAAAAGCTTTTAGGTACTTTTATTGAGAAGAAAGCCACAAAAACTGTTCCAAGAGCTTTCAAACCAGGCAGAATCTGTTTTTTATCTCCTTTGCTTTGCTCCTCCTCCCTTCCTCTTCAACAGTTTGTCTCCTTTTTCATGGATTTTTAGAGAATTAGCCAAAACTGGACAGGGATTCAGAGTATGTGTGTGAAGTCAGTCTTTGATGTCTAAGAAAGTGCCCATAATTAGCAAAGTTAGGTCAGGAGACATGGACACACAGCAGATTCAAGCAAGAACACATCAGCATGTGTATTCCCAGAAGCTCACTGAGACTCTGGAGAACAGGCTTACAAAAAAAGTAAGTCTGCAAAGAATTAAAACTGGCTCCGGGCCTGAAGATAACTTTTTAGACTTTATTTATTAGAGCTAGAAAGAATTGGAACGCTACAATAGGTTGAAATTCATTAAGTACAAACCGCATAATATAAAGAAATAAAAGCTTCAAGAAAACATTCTCTTAGTGCCTTGTGGGTGTAGAAACTAATCTTCCATTTATTACAGGATAAAGCTCTTATTTGTGGTACTAAAGGCATGCTGAGCAATATTTTACCGTTAGTTTCACCTCAGGACCAAATTTTCAATCTCCTGTATCTGGCTTACATGATCTATTGATCTGAACCCAGCGACAAGCTCTCTGGTCCAATACAAAGTCACAATCTGTCCCCCATCCATTCATGCTTTTCTCCTTTCATCTGTCCACCAACTAGCATCTCATCCCACCTCTAAACACGAGGGTCAATGGCATCCCATTGGCCCTCACTCCATTTTGCGCCCCATTGGCAACCATGACAGGGGCATCCACAGCCCATAAAGCATAATGAACATGAATCTTTATTTTATGAGAACAATAACACCCTGGCCTGGCCGTGCCCGTCCATCCCAGCCTGTCAGTCCTCACAAAGAGCCCTCAGTATCCATCAATCCATGCGGCCAGAGGGGCTGCTCCATTGTGCAGCCTAATTACACACCACTTTAGAGCAGTTGGAGGCCTTGGGGTGGAGTGTGTCAGCGCGTGTGTGTGCATGTGTGAGATATAGAGGGAATCCTGGGGTGAGCATATGGCTGCTCTCGAACCCAGGTGCAGGGGAGGAGAAAAGGCTAAAACATCCCGCTGGAGGCGAATTCCACCAGCTCTGAGGAAATGATGGAGAAAGTTAAAGGATGTGGAGTACTAATGGCAATTGCCAGCTATTCTGACCAGCTTTTATGGCATTTCAAGCATCTGTCTGCACCCGGTCTTAAACCGACATACGCTTGTCAAGTAGAAGTCATAAAAACAGGATCATGCATGATTTTGGACTAGACTGGCGTACCACAATTGTTCAAATTACTGGAACTACTTTATAGTGATATTAGCATGGTAGTATCAATGTGCCAGTGAGTTGGAGTGACAGTGATTTCAACTTTATTGTGGATCTGCGGCCCTGCAAAATCTTCTGATGCTAGTAGGTATGTAAAAAAAAAAAAAAAACTGGAAGAAGAACAGGAATCAATCCAAAATGAACAAGCACAACCACATCCATCACTTAACTCTTAATTCACAAATATAAATGAACCACATGGCCATGATAACTCATAGAACAAAGAGGTAGAGCACTGACCTCAGCCAAAACGTCAGTGATTAGGTTTGACATTCGCATTTACTAACAAGTCTGACTCTCAGAAAGTCTGTGATTAGGTTTGACATTCATATTTACTAACAAGTCTGACTCTCAAACTGTCCTGTCCGTACAAAAGCTTACAGTAGAAGCTTGAATACTGTTTGTATGAATAAATAACCAAAATGAAAGCCAATTTTTCTATGAAAAGCATACTGTATATAACAGCAAAAATCACTGCGACTGTGGAAAACATTACTGATAAACCCTTGTTGGAAATTGGAGATTACCATACGCCAACCTAAGAATCATTTTCCGTGATATTTATTAGCAATCATGTCAGGTGTGTCAACTATAAATGTCATATTTGGGAATGAATAACTCTTTTGATTGAATTGGTCAAACGGGTATGTAAAAATGTAAAGATGAAATTGTTTGTGATTCAGTTTGATTCAGGCACTGAATTATCTGCACCAGTATCTCAAAACAAAATAGTAATGGAATAGCGAAATAGTGGTTTCTCATAACAAAATGGTACAGACAGAAAAAGAGCGCTGGATGAGGTAGATATTTACATACAATCCATTGTAGAAACATTTGTAAGCCACAAAGCAGCTCTTTACTGTCTCTGTAGCTTGTGAATGAACAGCACACCCTGTACTGCACAAAGATTTTATATAAGAAAACAATATCAAAATATTGGGAAGCTTTTTTGTTATGAGAGGCCTGAATTCTTGAGCACAACTGGCAAAATTAACCCAGATTGGCTTTAAATACTTGATTTTAAATACCCCACATGAAAAACCATAACACATACATGTCCACAGCATACAATATGTGACCCTGGACCACAAAACCAGTCTTAAGTCGCTGGGGTATATTTGTAGCAATAGCCAAAAATACACTGTATGGGTCAAAATTATACATTTTTCTTTTATGTCAAAAATCATTAGGATATTAAGTAAAGATCATGTTCCATGAAGATATTTTGTAAATTTCCTACTGTAAATATATTAAAACTTAATTTTTGATTAGTAATATGCATTGCTAAGAACTTCATTTGGACAATTTTAAAGGCGATTTTCTCAATATTTTGATTTTTCTGCACCCTCAGATTCCAGATTTTCAAATAGTTGTATCTTGGCCAAATAATATCCTATCCTAACAAACCATTTATAACTTATTTATTCAGCTTTCAGATTATGAATAAATCTCAATTTCGAAAAATTGACCCTTATGACTGGTTTTGTGGTCCAGGGTCACATAACGCAACACTGCATGATGTGACAAGTCATTCACTGCTGTTGCATTTACACATTACAGATTATCTGAATTCACTCTCAAAATGTGGTATAAGTTCTAAAAATTGTTTGGTTGTTTGGTTAAAGAATGCAGTTGTCACTCTCGTTCATAACAAAACTGTGTATTTACCACTCTAAATCAAAACTGAAAAATGCATTCTGCTGCTGTGTAAACAGTCAAGAAGAATATCAGTCATCTTGGTGGAAAAAATATGACTATGCATATGCTGAACACCTGTGAGCTAAAAAAAGACTGAAAGTTCATACTGTGTTATGGTTAACCGGTTCAACCAGATCCCCACCAGTTTGGCTTAACTCAGTCAAACTCAGTCGCTGTCCCGCAGAGTTTAGCTCAAATCAACTCCAACAAAGCTCCCTGTAAGTTTCCTGCATTTTTCGCATCCATAGCAAGCATTTTGAGAGGTGTTTTGACAATTCAGATCCACCGTACAAGCGAACGCCAAAATCCAGAATGGCTATTGTCAAGTTCATCCACTTCGTCTCGCAGCACAAAGCACCGTAAAGATCCTTGCACACTGAGTTCACAGAAATTGGTGGTCTTCTTTTTAATATGTGGCTCTAGTATCGCTAGCAAAGCATCAAACTGAGCCACTGACATCCTGAAGTAAACTTTGAATCGCCTGTGATAATCTCGCTGCTCCTTAATAAGGAGGGGGAACTCTTCTTTCTTCTCTGTATCTCAGGGTTGGGTGGACCCAATATTTCCTTTCTTTTTGTCTTTTTAAGAAGCAAGAAGACAACAAAATCATCCTCACTGATTGAAGACTCCATTTAGTACTGTTTTGCTAATTTTTTCGCAAAAGATTAATTAATATGCATCAGACTCAGTGTGCAAGGTTTCAGTGTGTGACGAATTTTTATGATAACGAATACGAAAAAAAAAAGAACTTTCGGACTCGGTGTGCAATGACCTTAACTCTGCAGGACAGAGTGGCCCTCCAGGAGCTGAGTTTGACACCCCTGCTCTACTAGGTCAGTCTTGCCCCCACCAACTGACCAATCGGTAAGCTCTGCCCCCCTTAGTTACTTGTTGCTCCCTCGTTTATGTGTTTTTGACCAACACTGTAACTTACATGACGTGAGAACAGTCCGCTATTTAGGTTTGTACATTAGCATGGACTCAAAACTTTAACGTTAGCTAGCGTTAGCCAGAGACACCTTGCTGAAATACAAGATGACATTAACGTTCTGCTTGAGCAGATGAAAATTGTAACTTAATGAGGGTATGACAACCAGAAAATGAACGTTTTTGTCTTCATTGGGATTGGGGATGAATGCTTAGGGACATTTTGCTCTGTTTTGTTTGGGTTTAGGAAATGTAATAAAATTTATTATATTGCCTCAGTGTTACAAGTACCCCAGGCACATCGTTTTTCCATTTTTGTAGCATAAACACCATCAAACCGATGAGTGCTTCGGCTCTTCCAATGTTTCTCTATGGCGCTGAAACCTAAAGATGTCCGAGTTCCACTCCTTGTGCAACTGATACTCGACTGCCATTGGCTCTTCTACGTTTGAGGGGAGTCCACCTAATCAACCACTTAAACCAGCATGGACCAGTTAGGAACATACAAAACCAGTAAACACCAAAGCTGGTTTTAGGCAGGAAGAGGAAAGAAGAGTGCTAGGACAAAATTAATGTTTTCTATAGATAAGTACATACTTGGGTAGGTGGTGCTAGAGCACGGAGTACAACCAACTGGATCATTCCTCTCAGGTTCCCCTCCATGGACATGGATCTCCGCAGGGTCTCCATGGCCTCATGGTTGGACTTCCCCAAAAGTGTCTCACCATTAACAGCAATCAGCTGGTCATTGACACATAGACGCCCATCCTAAACAAAAAAGACAATCAGAATCTCTATTTAGTGTCACAAGACCATTACCAATGGTTTGAGTTTTGATTTCTGTCAGCGACTTCCACATTGGTGAATCAAATGAGCAATCTTTTAGTTACCAGCCCTGAGCTCCAAAGGATAGTTCACCCAAAATGTTCTAACTCTCATGTCTTTCTAAACCTGTAAGACATTCTTCCTTCTGCGGAACACCAAAAAAGATATTTTGAGAAATGTTGCAATGTTTTGACAGTACAATGAAAGTCATGGGTTCCAATGTAGCGTAACATTTTCGTGCACTATATGTGCTTCATAAGTACTAATAAATAGTCAATATGTTAATAGGCATGCTAATAAGCAACTAGTTAATAGTGAGAATTTGTCCCTATACTAAAATGTTACCCTACATTGGAACCCATGACTGTCATTGTTTTTGCGCACAAAAAGTATTCTCGTCTCTTTATAAAATAATTGTAGAACCACTGTAGTCACATCGACTGTTTTAACGATGTCTTTAGTACCTTTATGGATCTTGAAAGTTTGGGTGGCTTTGCGGTCAATGGAGGCCTCTCTGAGCGGATTTGATCAAAAATATCTTAATTTGTGTTCTGAAGATGAACGAACGTCTTAGGGGTGTGGAACGACATGAGGGTGAGTAATTAACGACAGAATTTTCATTTTTGGGTGAACTAACCCTTTAACAACTACCTTATCTATTAATAAGCAGCAAATTAGGAGTTTAATGAGGCAATGGTCATAGTTAATGGTTTTTTGATAGTGAGAATTGGACCTTAAAATAAAGTGTGACCCAATGAAGTTTTTCAACATAATTAAGTAATTCACGCAGGTGAGTTCACAACTTCATTTTTTGGTGAACTATCTCTTTAACTACACTGGACCATGACCAGATCTATGTACATCTGTTTTTGGGGCTTTTTATCTATCAGAAGACCTTGACCATGTCCTACTTTCTCTAATCTCTAATGTATTTCCTCATATTCTGCGAGAACTCTCTGCTTTCCACAGGCGTATTATCCTCAGTTGAGTCTGCAGGGGCATTCTGTCAAGGAGTAAATTTCCCACAATCCAGCAGCTCCGTCTCTCTGGTACTGTATAAGCACATTATAAGACATGCATATTACATGGCATATAAAAGCCCTAAAGTTCATTACAATTAATATTAATTAGTGTTTTCACTGCAGAGGCCTCTGATCTGCTTCCTCTGTCTCCAGGCGAGAGAGAGAGCTCAGAGACATATGAGGGTTAATGCAAGAACTTGCAAAACGCCTCAGATATATAGACAAAAATGCTGATCATTAACGAACTGTACAAACTAAAAATGATGAAGTACACTGAAAACAATGTTGGATATCAAGTAAAACATAATGAAGTCTTATTATTACTTCCTATATAGCAAAATGTAAAAATTTTAGTGGTCTTGGTTCTGGAAGTTCTTGGTTTTGGTTTCCCATTTATCTCATCCTATGAAACATCGCAAATGACATAAATATAAAATGACAGTACAATACAAAACAATGACTCATACAATACAACATTTTATATCCAGGATATAACATCGATTAAAAACCACAGAGCTGGAGATAAGTGCCTTGAACTATTTACAGCATGTGTCATCATAATTTCTCTATGGAGAAAAGGAATGTGATTTTTACTTCCTAACTGTTGTGCCCTATCGAGGTAAAAGAGTGCCACACGGTTAATCACAGTTTACTGAAATAACACACACCCACAGACTCTCTAAACCCTGGCAGCGTGCACTCTGTGCCCTTGCTCTCTATAAATGAAGGAGATGTGCTTTCATTACCGAGGCCTTTGGGTGAAAAGATGTCCTGTCCTCGTGACACCATGAGTCACAGAGAATTAGGGATCCTTATTACAGCCATGATCTAATTTTCTAACTTGATTCTGTGAAATCACACAATCCGTCTGCAGTTTGCGGTGTTGTTTTCAAATGAGTACATCTGTCTCACATTCTTTTACCACTTACATAACCATTTAATAGAGGCAGTACTGTATTGATTGACTCCTCAATCATTCTGCTTAGGGTTTGTTTCAAACCTCTGACGTTAAGTATTAAACTTCTACAATTAATTCAGCCTGAATTACTTAACATACAGAGCCCATACAAATGTTCAGCCTTACACTGTTTCCTTCAGGAAATGTAACCATGGTTTATTTTGCTTACTTATTTTTTGATCGGGGCCTAACTCCTCTGAAACAAAAACCTAACCAGATTTGAAAACAGTTTATCTGCTGAAATGAGCCCAAGGCCAAATCAATGGAAGTACAAGAGGATAAACAACTGTAGGACATGTTCAGTACATAATATAACTTTTGCCACATGGCATTTCCCTCAGTTTTGTAAGTGCAAGCTAACAATAACTTTGCAAGTAGACGCTTCCATTCACCCTACCCTCTTCTTGCCTTCCAACTTCGACTCTGGGGAGAAGATGCATCCCACCCACAGACTCGGGATGCTTCCAACTCATTAGCATGGGCTTGGAGAGTTTTTAATTAGCATTAATGTGCTGAAGCTAACACAGGCAGTGCTCTACCGTTTCTGAACTCTCTCACTGGGGACTGGATGGGGAATTAGAAACGTGTTACCCAGAGTTCCACTGTACTGAGACTCAAGTATGAGAACTCACGTGCATCACCTTGCCATGGCTCCCTCTACCCCCCTCTCAATTCAGAATGATAGAGATTTATGAAGTTCTTTTCATGCTACACAACCTCCGAAACCCAAAAGCAGCGTTTCCAAGCAAAAGGCCTGACAAAGAAGAGCTAGGAGATGCTTCTGTCAGGTGCAAATCAAACCCTTATCTTCACAAGTAAACTTCACACACCCGCGCACATAAATGTGAATGCTTTGGGCAGACGCACACACACAAATCCACATGTCTGACAAGCACAATTTCACTTGGCTGAGCAAAGCAGTAGATGGAAGAATTTTACTGAGACTGGTTCACATGAAATATGTGCAGCCCATTGAGTTACCCAGAGTTCCACTGTACTGAGACTCAAGTATGAGAACTCACGTGCATCACCTTGCCATGGCTCCCTCTACCCCCCTCTCAATTCAGAATGATAGAGATTTATGAAGTTCTTTTCATGCTACACAACCTCCGAAACCCAAAAGCAGCGTTTCCAAGCAAAAGGCCTGACAAAGAAGAGCTAGGAGATGCTTCTGTCAGGTGCAAATCAAACCCTTATCTTCACAAGTAAACTTCACACACCCGCGCACATGAATGTGAATGCTTTGGGCAGACGCACACACACAAATCCACATGTCTGACAAGCACATTTTCACTTGGCTGAGCAAAGCAGTAGATGGAAGAATTTTACTGAGACTGGTTCACATGAAATATGTGCAGCCCATTGAGTCATTCATGTATAGACATCATGTCACTTATCCTGTGGTGAAGGGAAAAAAACGCAGAGTGCAGATTTCCAAACATCTGAACACCTGCAAAAATCCATATAATCGAGATTAATGTTATTTAACCATTGGGTTACAAACACCCAATCTGTCATCAATACCATGTGACCAAATGTGAAATTGGAAAACGAACAGGTGCAGCTGGAGAAAAACATGCTAGTACAGACAGAAAGATGAGCCTATAGAAATACTCAAGAAGGGTCCACTAAGCACCCCTGCTGACAATCCTGATCCCGTCTGTTAAGGTCAAATGAAACCCTATTCGGTAGAGGGGACAGAGGTCAAGGGAACCAAAACACATGCCAAGAATAGCTAACAGGGATCGTGACCTTTTACAGTCTCAACTCAACCCTGAAGCTATGTTTAACACTGTGAGGATATCTAATAGATCTTCATGAGCAATGAAAAAACATTTCAAAAGCATATTTTACTTATCAACACATCTTAGTACTGCTCTCATTTTATGAATGATGCTATTCTTCTGAAGTTGTCCTCTGACCTCTTAAGTGATGATGGCCCAAAAAGTATTTGAACACTTAAGCTATACTTAAAAATAGCTTTCATTTTCTTTTTTACTAAACCATAATTAGTGTTCAAAATTAAGACAAAAAGTAGACTACTGTTAAAAATTTCGGAATCTGTTCATTCATTCATTCATGTTTATGTTTTTGAAATAAGTCTCTTATTCTCACCAAGACTGCATTTATTTAATAAAAAATTCAATAAAAACAGCAATACTGTGAAATATTGTTACAAAATAAAATTAATAGTTAATTTGTTTTAATATATTTTAAAATGTAATGTCACCTGTGATGGCAAAGCAGAATTTGCTTGCTTGAATTTTTCTTAAGAAACCAAAGGAAGATGGAAAATAAGAGCATTTTTAGAAAGTTAAAAACAAGAGCATTTGATTTAAAGGTGCCATAGAATGCATTAATACAATATTTTAAATGGTTAGCTGTAATAGAAGGTATGTGGCTTAGGTAAGGGCAAAAAATCTCCAGAAACTGTTTTATTTGTCCATTTACAACCCTAGGATTTGTCCCTAGAATGAAATGGTATGTTTTTACCTTATTTGGAAGGGTCATCAATAATAATGTTGAGCTCTGCTCTGATTGGCTGTTTCACAGTGCGGCTCATTTCAGTAGCTCACACAGCAGGAAGGAAACACAGGGAAAATATATATTTCAATACTTTCTCTCGCAGTTATATCGTTGGGTAATTATACTGTATATAAAATGCGGACAATCAGGGAGCCGCTATTAATATGCAGGGCATTGAAACTGTTTTCGAATGCACAATCTCGTTTTACTTTCACTTTTGAGATTTGCGATCGCATGTGCTCTGTGTAAACTACAGCGGCAGTACTTACCACACATTTTACAAGATCAGATGCTAGTCAGTGGTGCTCAGGATCTGTAAATCATTCGCCATCATCCTCAGTCATCTCTCCTTACTCTGTTTATGTG